CTAACACCTAAAATACTGCTACGAAGGACATAACACAAACCTCCCCCACTCGGCACGATCCAGGACCCCAAGAACCGAAGCTCGCTGGGATCTGACTCACTTTTTGCGGAGACGACGATGGGCGCGCAGCGGGGCGGGGTGGGGGGCGCGCCTCCCGCATTAGGGATTGGGTTTTAGGCTGGGGTGAAAACTCAGATTTCTGGAGATGGGGGCGGACGGGGGCGGGGGGCGGATAGTAGGGATGGGAGCATATATGTTCATCGGAAGTTTGGCTAGGTCTTTAAAAAAATTTAATTTAACTCGTTAGTGCCAAAGGACACTCATTTCGAGTGGAGCTGGAGCGATCACGGTTCACGGACGGGACACTCCCGCGGAGCTTTGAGTCCCCTCCTAGATCCTGGAGCCCACACGCCGCCTTCGTGCAGTCACAGGCCCTTCACTCTCGCCCGGTGCACTCCCGGCCCCACCCACGCCGCCCGGCCCCGGCGGCGCCCACTGCACGCCTCCGCCCGGGCCCCACTCTGGGATCGCGCCTGGATCCCACACCTGCAAAATCCACGGGGCTGCAAACAGCCCGCCCCTAGCAGAACTCAAGAAACCCCACGTTTGCACGCGCGGTTTTAAAACTTCAACGATTTGTAATGCGGAGATCGGTATCCATGCTTAGTGTTTTACTAGATAAAAATCGCCCAGAACTTTCGCGTTCATTTAGCGAGGGGCTCCCAAAGAAGTGAAGGGAGAAGATACGTGCTGCATTTATAAGGATCGACGATTGGGGGATTTTAGGGGAGTTTTAGTTTTACTTCCGTTTATAGACTTGTACCATTGGGGATTTTTTTTTCTTCATTCTCTGTATACACTAATTTATTTTTCCTTTAATCTTATAGGAGTTTGAGACTTCTGCTGACTGGGTTTGTGGGTGTCCCATGTGCCCCGGCAGTTCAAACTTAGCTCAGAAAGCATTTTTCTTACTAAAAAAGCATTTTCTTACCGAAATGAGTCATAATTTTATTAAATGGCGAAGCATGTTAGGTTTCAAGACTTTATCTGGTGTTTTAAACTTTGTTTCTTAAAAATTGAAATACAGTTTAAATTCTTATCAAAAAATGTCAGTTGCTGGTAAGATTAAAACATTCCTTTCTTTGTGAGAAAAACAACAACACTGAAACAAAATTATTGTGAGATAGTTCAGTTCACAATTCTGAAAGACAAGTCACTTGTAAGTTTACATATTTTCAAAGCCAGTATTTATTGCTAGGTTCTTTAACAAAGTTTCTCCACATCAAAAATAAACACATTTAAAAAATATCCAGAGCAAACATCTAGAAACCACCCGTAAAGGAATTGCATTCTGTCTCTGGGATTATTT